CAAATTCCTAGAAAAGACAATCTAGATGACCTTGCATTTGGCTCTGATTCTTTAACTCCAACACCAAAGGCATGAGCCATGGAAGAAAGAATTGATAAACTTTATTAAAATTAAAAATCTTCTATCCTTCCATAGATACTGTCAAGAGAATAAAAAGAGAAACCACAGACTGGGGGAAAGTATTTGCACAATAAATATCTGATAAAGCACTGTTATCCAAAATATACAGAGAAGTCTTAAAAGAAGCTCAAGTGTAAGAAAACAAGCAACTGATTAAAAAAATCCTTGACAGACATCCCTGATGGATGAAGACACACAGAAGGCAAGGTGCGTCTGAAACGACGCTCCACATCATTTGTCATCAGGGAAATGCAAATTGAAACAGCAATGCAATCGCCTCCCCAGTGATGAGAATGGCCGAAATCTAGAACTGCGCCATCAGTCAGTACCACCCGGGGATTGCTCAGGACACTTTTGGCAGGAAGACAAAATGTGCACCCCTCTGGGAGTTAGATTTGGTGGTTTCTTATAAAAGAAACTCTTACCCTTATTTTCCACAAATGAAAGTTAAAAAAAGAAGAAAAACAATCCCTAAATCCATTCAACTCGGAGAGGGTAGGAATTTTCCAAAATAATTTACAATTATATAACTGGCTGTTAAACAATTTTGATGAGTGGATTTCAGGGGCCCTCTTGACTCTATATTATAATAGACAGTCCTCAGCAAATCAAAGATGTGTAAAAATATTCAGTTACAAGGATGTTCATAATGAGATTTCTTCATACTAGCAAATATTTCAAAATAATCCAAATGTCCAACAATGGGGAACTGGTAACACAAACCATGCCGTATCTACACAACAGAGTCCTATATAATCGGGTAGCTGAGTTGACAGAAAAATATTTGACATGGGACGAGAGGGACAATAGGCTTTTAAGGGGAAAAGCAGATTAAGTCAAGGGACATTCTAGTTTTTTAAAAATGGCACCCAATCTAGGTGCCAGTGGCTCAAGCCTATTATCCCAGCTGTGTGGGAGGCTACGATTGAGAGGAACGAGGTCAAAGGGCAGCCTAGGCAAGCAGTTCCTGAGACCCCATCTCTAAAACAGGCAGAGCAAAATGGCCTGGAGGCATGGCTGAAGTGGTAGGGTGCCTGCTTTACAAGCGCAAACCCGAGTTCAAAGCTCAGTCCCATCAAAAAAGAAAAAATGGCACCAAATATTCTTGCTGAATCTCTAGTTCAGGAGAACAGACAGCTCTACTTCTCTTTTCCTTATTATTATTGCTATTTGTTTTGGCGGTTCTGGGATTTGAACTCAGGGCCTTTTTCTTGTTAGGCAGGTGCTTACCACTTGAGCCACTCTACCAGCCTATTATTTTTTTGCTTACCTGCATTTTCTATGTTTTCTTCCTAAAATGGAATGAATTCATCGTATAATAAAAAATAAAAATATTTATTCATATTAGCAATGCTAATTCAAGGTTTGGTCTAGGTCTGTGCCCAGACACCAACTGGAAGCATGTTTTCTAGAACGGTTTTGGAGGCTTTTCATGTTGGCAACCTGCACCCACCCCGGCCTCACCCCTGGAGCCTGCCTTCATCCTGGAAATGTGTCATTTTCTGACTGAGTGGCCAGCACTTTAGTGTGATCTGGTTGTCTACATCCTTTCTGGTCTGTCTGCTCAGGGATCCTGATGTGTTTTGCAGATAGAACAAGTTTTCTTCCTTCCTTCCCCTCCCTCCCTTCCTGCCTTTCTTCTTCCTTTCTTGGTGGACTGGAATTGAACTCAGGGCCTCACACTTACTAGGCAAGTGCTCTACCACTTAAGCCAGGCTCCCTAGTCCTTTTGCTTTTTCAAGTTTGTTTTTCAGATAGGGTATTGTGCTTTTGTCCCTTCTGGCCTCAGACCAAAATCCTACCTCTGCCTCCTGAGCAGCTGGGATTATACACATGCACCACCATGCCTGGCCTGGAACAGGTTTTCTATCCTCGTAACACATTAATAACTGGGAACTTAAAAAACACCGAGATCTCCACCCCCACCTCCCCAGCTTATCTCAGGAAGACGGAGGGCTGCAAGGTACTTCACCACATTGAAGACAGGCTGGGAGGGGAGATATAGGACTGCTCATTTTGGGAGGATGAGAGACCAATTATTAAAATGATTGTCCTAGGTTGTTAATTTCACTCTAGGGCAAGGACCCTGTCCAGGAAGCTGAAACAGGGGCTCCCCCGCTGTAGGTTGCTGGGGGCCTTAGAGAGTGGGTGTGCAGAAACAGGGAAAGAGACCCTCAAATACCTTGGTTCATCAAAATTACTAGAGAATAAAATACACAAGGCTTTTCCAAATAGAATCAGGTGATATTTTTCTAAAAAAAAAAAAATCAATTTAAAGTGTTACTGAATTAATACAGCTTTTTGTTATTATATATATATTTTAAATTCATAGTTGCTGAATGTGCAGCTTCTCCATTACGTCCAGGTCTGAGGCTCACAGCAGTAGGGGATGTGGGTTCTCTCTAAGGATATTAATTTTTTAAAGAAAAATTGAACAAATCCAGGAAGAAGCACAGCCCAGTTTTTCTGCCGACAGTGGTTCTGCTACGTCTACACGATCTCAGAGCTCATGTTTGCATTTGTCCTGGCACGTGATAATTGTCGTAAAGGTCAATGTTGAATAGGGAATATCTATTTTCTGAGAATGGGTGTTGGTCAAACCTTAGATTCCCTTATGGACCTGGGCTCTGGGCTCTCTTGCAATGCTGCCGACAGACTGTCCTCTGCTCAGTGACAGCAGATGGCGCCCTAGGATGCAGTTGCCTCTTGCAGGGAGTGAGTGGGTATTTCTCACCCCCTTTCCAGCCTCAGTGCCAGCTGTGTGCCAGTGGTATCCTCCACTAGAGACAGCAGTGCACGCAGAGCATCTTACTCCTAAAGAAGAAGTTACATTTGTTCCTCGGCCTTTTGGAGCTCACGGGACAGAAGGAAGGGACACTCCTCCTAGGTTTAGTTCTTGAAGCTTTTCTTGGGGTTGGGGTACGGGTGGGAGTTGGCCCAGGTGTCCTTGTCCAAGCTGGAAGGGGCCCTGGCGTTTACACCTCTCTTGGCTTTGTCCATCCATAGCCTCTCCAGTGGCTTCCACAGCAGGACTGAGTTCCCTGGAGGCCACAATCCTGTGCCAAAGTCCTGGCTTCCCCATGGGGGAGGGGGCGACCTTAGTTTGGGCACTTGCTCCTCACATGCTTCTCTTGGAGGGTCACCCTCAGGGGTGAGCACCTGCCCCAGGAGACAGAGCAGTCCTCCTACCTACATCCCTCTGCTGGGAATATTAAAATAAGGCATGAAGATCGTAGGAGGCTTACGTTAATTACTCTACCTCAAATTAGCCAGACAGTCTAAAACTTGGGGTAGGGTGAGGAGACGCTCCTGGAGCCTTCTGCTCTCATTAACCCAAATGTCTTTTCCCTCCTTCCCTCCCGCCTCCGTTTTTCTGTGCCCATTCCTCTTTTCTGTGCCCCTTGGACTCTGCCTCAACTCAGCTCAAGGTAGCTTAGTCCCCAGGTGAATACTGTATCTCAGTCCTGTGAATGGTCCCCCAAGGGTGAGGTGGCCCTAGTGGTGGCACCTACATCCCTGGCTTTGTCATTGCCTGGCTACATGCTATCTGCTACCCTCTGGGCTCTCCCTCCCTCTTGCCCGGAGTTGGGGAACATAGGGTGAGTACCTGATGGTCACTCGGGGGTCATGGGTTACTCCACACACCATGGAGGCCTGAGTACCCTTGATGACGCTTTGGTCCTGCGGCGGTTTGGTGATACGAGTGCGGGCTGCAAGACAAGGTGGGGACAGCACAGTAAGCGGAGAAGTGGACTGCAAGGCTGGGTGTGACCAGGTAGACGGAAGGGACAAACCTTACGTGATCTGGAGCCCTGTGGCTGGATGCTGAGAGTAGAGGGCAGAACCCATTCATGTCTGTCATAGTGAAAGTCTCAGAAGGGTTAAAAAGGACAGTGTACCTCTAATTAATTAGTGACACTAATTCTTGGAAGCCATGTGCATAGTAGGGGTTCACTGAATTTTGCTCACAATTTGGGGGGCATAAGGGATGGAGAAGCAGTAACCTGAGGGTGACCAGGGCCATCTGCCCAGCCTATCAATGACCTGGCCAGGGTAAAAACAGGGTCCACAGGTGGTCAGTCTAGCGTTTTTACCTATCAGGCCCCCATGGTCAGCCTAGACAGGTGGACTGTGTGTCTTAAGTGTGGACCCCAAGTTGGAAGAGGCTTAAGAAGTTCCGTGATGGCGGGGTCAGCATACTTCAGGCCTGGGGCCAAGTCTGGCAGGTGGCCTGATGGGAAAGTAAGCTCACTGGAATGTGACCTCGCCCATGGGATCATATACCGTCTTATGGCTGCTTTCTCAGCAGCACAGAAGTTAGCTGAGTAGCTGTGACAGAGACCGTCTGGGCCACAACCTCTAAAATATTTACTCTCTGGCCCTCGCAAGAAAAAATTTGCTGATTTCTGCCCAAAATAGATGAAGACAGCTTCACCCCACAGCTCAAAAGTCCTCTCAACTCAGCCAAGCATGGCACGGGTTCTCCACCCCATGACCTCATGGGCTGAGCCTTTGTCTCCTTGTCCCTGGCCTTTGAATTAATTTGTCACTGTCCCTGTGACAGAAAGAGCCCTGGCGGGGGTAGAAACATCATGTAGAAATGCTGGCCCTATGAGCGTGTCCATTTAGTGTTCCGTGTCATCGGCACCCACAGGGAGGGGGACACCCGTGCACAGACATGCGAAGCCCCCAGACGCAGACACTCACCCCACACCACCAGGTCTGCTGAGGCCTCGTCCACCCCCCGGGAGTTGGTCGCCAGACAGGTGTAGGTGCCGGCATCAGAGATGTGCGTGGGGCTGACCAGCAGGCTACCCGACTCCAGCAGTGTGAAGCGAGGGAGCTGGATGGAGCCACTGGCCAGGATGCGTTCTCCTGAGGGTGAAAGGGGGGTATGTGTCAACCTGCAGCCCAGCACCCTGAAACGGCCCGTCTCACCCTCCCTCGTCACCCCAGTAAGGGAGGTCTCAGTAGAAGAGAGAGCAGGGCTGGGGCCAGGGCTTTGTGATAGGCACAAGGTCACAGGGCCACAGGGTAGCATTGCAGCCCAGGCTCCTGATGCCCCTCATCCACCAGACTGTCTGCCATATCCCAGAAGCCAAACTCTGTCTACTGAAGGGAGTGAGTGGCAGCCCAGAGGCAGGGTGCCAGCCTGGGCTGGCAGGGAGGTGGGAGACAGGCTGACAAGGTGGTGATGGACATCCTGCCTAGGACAGGACCTTTCTGAAGAGTCACCTTCTGGGGAGCCCAGGACAGCAACCGATGAGAGCAGCGAGGATGGGATAGGGTGGAGAGAGAGTCAGGGTGCCTCTGCCAATGCAGAGGATGGGCCTCCTGCAGGGGGATGTGGGAGATCTGGGGGTGCTGGTGAGGGGGGCAGGAGGGAGAGAGACAGAGAGTGAGACAGACAGAGACAGAGGCAGAAAGAGAGAGAGAGAGAGAAGGAGATAGAGAGAGAGACAGGGAAACAGAGACACAGAGACAGAGAAGGAGAGAGAGAGAAGAAGAAGAGAGGAAGAGAGAGACACAGAGAGTGAAAGAGACACTCAGAGAGAGACAGAAAGACAGAGAGAGACAGAGGCAGAAAGACAGAGACACACAGAGACACAGGAGGAGATAGAGAGAGAGACAGGGAGACAGAGACACACACGCAGAGAAAGAGAAGGGGAGAGACAGTGAGAGAGAGAGAAAGAGAGAGAGAGATAAAGAAAGTGAACTCATATATGCAGGCGCAGCCTGAGAATGCAACTTTACTTTAAGGCCCCCATGTGGGATATCTGTGTGCTGGCAGGTCAGGCGTGGACGTTCACACATACGTGTGTGTGTGTGTGTGTGTGTGAACTAGGGATGCATCGCGTGTGTCAGGGGCTGTCTCTGAGCATGGGCCCATGCCTATATTCAGTCTGCAGAATTTATTGGGCACCTCATACTCTGAGGCCCTGGGGAGACAGCTGGGGATCAAGCTGAAACCCTCCTTGCTTCTAGGAAGTGGAGGACAGTGGAAAGTGATGGAAATGAATGGCTTCTCTGGTGGGTGGCAGGTGGGGTGGGTTGGGGGAATGGGGTGGTGAGTCTGGGGGAAGCACCAGGAGCAGAGGCTGGCGGATGGTTGGGAGCAAATGTCTGAGCTGCCTGGGGAAGGAGGAAACAGCTGCTGGCAGCCCAGTAGCGCTCATTATCACACGCCCACCATTTGCTAGTCTTTACACTTTCTCAGGCACGAGGCTCGTCCTTCACAGGCATGCTACCATCCAGTCTTCCCGCCACCCTGAGTACGAGTGCTAATGTCCCCAGTCTACAGTTGGAGAGAGTTTATAATTCCCCAAGGTCGAAGTTTCTACAAGACGCAGATCAGAGCTGGTCCTTGAGCCCAGTAAGGCAGTCTCTACCGCACACTGTGAAGTGAAAGATGTCTTCTTGGATTGTGCCATGCACTTCCAGAACCTACACTGTCACATGGCCGCACCCTCTGAGTTCAGTCCATCTACCTTTCTGCCAGGTGATCGCTGGCCGGGGTGCCCCTGAAGTCTCACACGCCAGTACCACTGACATACCGTCAATCACCGTGCTGTCCAGGGGGCCCCTGGTGATGTTGGGGGCGATACCTGCAGTCAGAGACAGAGGGTCTCTTAGTCACACCCTGGAAGAACCCCCAGTCAGACAGCCAGGAACTTTGAGCCACAAAGGGTCAGGTCCTCCCTCCCCCTGCTCTCTAGGTGTTGTAGGGCCCTCTGCGGGGAAGGACTAAGGCCTCTGAGGACCAGGTGATGTCAGCCTCTGCCTGGCTCCTTCAGGCTTCCATTGAGAGGAAACTGAGGACCCAGGGAGCAGGTCACAGCCCTGTGACAGGGCAGTGGGCTCATCCTCCACTGAACGTGGACTTGGTAAAGGCAAGGACAGCTGGGAGCTATCTTAGCACTGGTTCTCCTCTCTGGAAACCTGAGCAGGTCCTCTGTTCTAGAGTAGTCCCTTGAGCCCTGCACCAACCTAGGGTCAACCCCAGCAGAGCTGGTTTTTCAGCTACTTTTCTCAAAGAGCTGGAGCATCATTGGTGGCTCTAGGACACCAGGGAGGACAGAGCTATGGGTGTGACTGGCTGGTGACACCAGGCTGCTGCGATTCTATTTCTATATAATGCACATGCTTTCCCCAAGACCCCGAGCTGGCAGGTGGGCTCAGGGACAGGATGAGGGAGGGACCAACTCACTGGTGACGGCCAGGTAGGTGGAGGTCTGCATCTCGCCGGCTGCGTTGCGGGCAAAGCACTGGAACATACCGGTGTCGTCGGGCACCAGGCCACTGATCTGCAGGCCGCCATCACCTCGCTGCCGGAAGCGGGTCAGCTTCTCCACCTCCACCACCACTGCATCCTTGTACCAAGTGATGGAGGGCGGAGGCACACCTGAGGGGATACGAGGGCCGCCATCGGCTCTCCTGTCTCCTTCCCCACTGCGAGAGGGCCTTGGCATGTCTTGGTGTCTAGAACCTTCTCAGAGGTGTCATTTGGAGTTTAGAGAGAAGGGAAGGATGTTCTTAGAGTGTCAATTATCAAATTCCTTGGGATATGGTAGGAATTTCAGTAAAAATTCAAAAGACTTCAGACCAGTGTACCTCACAAATGCTTGATTGGACAAACAGATTTAAAATTTTTTTTTTTACTGTAGGGCTGGTAGGGTGGCTCAAGTGGTAGAGCACCTGCCTGGCAAGAGTGAGCCCTGAATTCAAATCCCAGTACCACCAAAAAACTCAAACCAAAACAAAAACCAAATTTTTTTTTACTGCCATGTTTAGCAGACCTTTTTGTGTGTTGTGGATGCTTCCAAGTGGAGGAAACCCACTTTACTACAGAGCCAGTATTAAGGGAGCAGCAGAAAGGCCACCATTCCTCAGGAGCTCCAGGAAGCCCCCTCCTATCTGGTCCAACGATAGAGGAGGACCAGGCTCTGCCATTCCTCTGCCTAGCATGGCCTTCTAAGAGGCATCCCCAGTCTTCCCTCCACCAGCCTCCCCTCCTCCGCTCTCTGCTCAAATGTGACTCCCCAAGGAGTCCCCACAACGCACATCTTCTCACTGCCACGTCTCAGAACCGAGGGTGTGTCTCACGACTCTCTTGCTTAGTGGTACACAAAATAATGGGGCGTCTTAGAACCTGTGGCTCTTTAGGTGAGAGGAAAGAAGGCTCACGTGCTAAAACAGCAGGGATCGGCTCTTTGGTTCATTCTAAGTCTGACTCGAGGACAATGTGGCACTCGGAAGTCCTCAGATGGTGTTTGCTGTGAGTGAGGGCATCTTTGCCTTCCTCTGTGGTGTCTTGGGAGGGCAGTCACCATTCCTGTCTCTCCAGTGATTTTCTCCCTCCTACCAGGCCACGTTTCACCCTTTGGCTCAGTACCCACCGTGCCCTGTCGTGTGCATGGCTGTCTTTCTCATCTGCTCCCCTCTGGCTGCCTTTCGGCTCAGCTGAGGAGGAGGGAGGGAGAGGAAGGGAAAAGTAGCAATTCTCCATTGATGTGACATTGGGGGTTAAGTAGGAGTAGCTGGGGGAGGAGACAAAGCCTCAGGGCCCAGCAAACATGAAAGGCAGCCGAGACCCACCTAGGCGAGAGTACTCAGGTCTCCGAGTTCTGACATCACGGTGATTTGGCATTGTCTACAACTCTTAAATTATGGGCAATTTGGGTCTGTCACCTGTCCTGAAATTATGATAATTTGGGTTCATTTGTAACCCTCAAGTTTCGGTAACATGGCTTGATTTCCTGCCTGAGATTACGGTAATTTGGCCTGTTTGTTTCCCTGGGGTGCCTGCTTTCAGCCAGCCTGACACTCCACACAGGGACAGGGTCTGGAGGTGGAGTGGGGCTTAGAGATGTTGTTGGAACAAGGATAGGAGAAGCCGAAGGTTGGGGGTCCTTGTCCTCGAGTCCATGCTACCGTGTTACCTTTGGCCCGACAGGGGATGTCCACCACCTTCTCCATCTCTGCTGTGATGTGGCTGTCTGGTTCCTTGACAAACTGAGGAGGCTCTGCAGGGGGAAGGACCCGGGAGGGGATCAGAGCCATGCTCCTTTAGATCCAGCTGCTGTGGGGGCCATGCTGCCTGCCCTCGCCCTCCCCCCACCCAGCCCCAGCGCCCCTGCCCCATCTCACCCAGCACAGAGAGGTAGGCACCCCGGGCGACAGGGGCCACACTGCTGCTGCGCAGCATGGCTTCACACTCATAGTAGCCGGCGTCACTGACCGCGGGATTGGGGATGGTAAGCCGACGGTTGTAGTCGCTGATGCCTCCAGACACTAGCTCCCCATCCTTCTTCCAAATAATGTGGAGCTTAATCAGAGGCCTGCAGGGAGGGGGAAGACGGGAAGGCTGGGCTTCAGTGCACAGACTTCCAGAAGCAAGGCATCCTGGACACTTCCTGGATGTAAGCTGTGGAGCAAGATCCTTCAGGGCTCCGAGCCTCAGTCTCCTCACCTGTAAAATGGGGTCACTGCACCCACCCTGGTTTGTTGTGAAGGTTAAGTGTGTTAGCACGAAGCACTTGCAACAGGGGATGGGACGTGGTGGTAACCGGGGCTGGGCTTCTTCCCCCTGTTCTCCTTGGTTGCCAGGCCCTCCCTCTACCAACGAGTGTCTAGGAAGGAGCAAGGTGAGGGGAAATAACAAAAAACACAGCATGCAGACAGAGACAGACAGACAGATAGACTAGCCCCCAGCTTTGAGAGAGACCAAGGGCGAGTTTGGCCCCTGCATTTCCAACCCTCCAGGATCTGGTCTGCCCCGAGCTCTCCTGACCAGAGGGTAGAGCTTCTTCAGGGGGCTGGGGTATCAGAGGGTCCCTGGAAAAAGGGGCTCTGTGTGGTGTGGTTCCTTCCTCACTGCGGGACTTCCCAGGGCCTCAGCGTGCGTCTTGGCCACCTTTCCCAAGTTGTGAGAAACCTGAGTTTCGTGGAGTGTGCTATGGGAACCCGCTCTCCAGGAGTCCTTGGCTGGAGGTGACCTTGGGATCCTCGGCCTAATTCCCCACCTGTGACTGCGGTTTATCCATATGCTCGCAGCTGGGATCAGTGCTTACCCTCCCTGAATGCTTTACGGTGAGGTTTGTCCGTGTCATTTTCACTTTAGAGATGAGGACACTGAGGCCCAGGGCAGGGCTGTGAGCACAGGCCTTGGGACAGCCAATTACATCTCAAATCTGCTATGTGTCAGCTTGGTGGCAGTGGGCAGGTTGCTTGCCCTCTCTGGGCTTTGGGGTAACGACACCTGTGCCATGCAGTGGTTGGGAGAGAGGAGGTTGTGCAGGAAGCACGTAGTATACTGTTCCCAGTATGATTTGTTTCTTATGTCTGGGATGTGAGGGAAACCATGGCACCTGGCCTAGGTCTCCTTCCTACAAAGTCCACGCTCAGGACTGCTGTGTGAGTCCTCAAGCTTTCCTTGAGCATGTCCAGCCTGCAGGTTCTCTGCTGTGACAGGCCCCCTGCCCCTCTCTGGGTAACTCCGTGTCCAGAGTGTGTGGCCCTTCCCTCTAGCCCTGTCGCCTGGGCTGAAATCTGTTTCCTGGGGCCTGGTTCTAGCCTCTTTTGCCCAGGAGAATGAGGTGGCCTTACTGAGCATGACAGCCCTCTGCGACAGCTACCATGGTCCCCGCCACCCTCCACTGCTCTCCCTGTGCCCAGTGCTGTAGTTAGGAGGGACAGAGAACGAGTGAGAAGGCAGCACCTACCTGGCGTTGGCCACACACTCCATGGTCACCTCTGAGGTCCCGGCTACAACGCTGGTGTTTTTGGGTGGGATAATGATGGTTGGTGCAATGGGGTCAGCAGGCCCCCCAACATCTGGAGAGAAGTCAGCTGTTAGCTGGGGTAGAGGTCAGAAATCCCTACCTGGCCAGGCTGATGCCACAGGAGATCTTGGTTTTCATGACATGGAACAGGTGGCCACAGAGGCAGCCCGAAGAGCTGCACCTCTGGACACCAGCTCACGACTGTCATTCATTCCCCAACCCCCTTGGCCTTCCTCTGCTGACAAGCCACACCTGAGTGTGCCAGGGAAGTCCACTGGGATTCTCTAGTTTCAAAGGCCTCCCCACTCTTTTCATAAGGGTAGCCTTGCCCCTACCTCATCTCTCATCCTTCCTACTGCCCTTGAAATCCTCCTCTCTGCCTCAGTTTACCTTGCTTACTTCCTCATTGTCTCCTCTACCAGAATCTGAACTCTCCGTACTGAGTTGAATAACGTCCTCTCTTCCAAATTCATGTTCCTTGGCAGTTGCGAATGCGACCTTTCTTGGAAATAAGGTGTTTGCAGATGTAATTAGTTTGGAAGAGGTCACATTGGGTTAGCACTTGGGCTCTAGATCTATGTCCTTATGTACAAGGAAAGGGGGACTCAAGACAGGAACACCCAAGAGAGAAACCATGTGAAGACAGAGGCAGAGACTAGAGGAAAGAGTTCTCAATGCAAAAAAGGAGCAGCAGGGCACTGGCCAGCACTAGGAGCTGGAAGTGGCAGAAGAGGACCCTTCAAGAGCCCTCAGAGGGAGCAGCTCTGCTCACACCTTGCTTCCAGACTTCTGCCTCCAGGACTGTGGGAGGATCAATTCTTGTTGTCCTAAGTCATCTGGGTGGCTGTACATTGTTACAGAGGCCACAGGAGGCCAGGCCACTCCCTCATGACCCCGACAGTTCCTGAGTTGAAGCCCTAATGCTACTATGGTGGCATTTGAAGGTAGGGCTTTTGGAATTAAATTAGGGTCAACCGAGGTCATGAAGGTGGGGACCCTGTAATGGGATTAGTCTTTGTAAGAAGAGACCAGATCTTGATTTCTCTCTTTCTCTCTCTTTCCTCTCTCTCTCTCTCTCTCTCTCTCTCCAAGACGAAGTGAGAAGGCAGCTGTCTGCAAGCCAAGAAGGGAGCCCTCACCAGCCCCCACCATGCTGCCTCTCTGATCTCGGACTTCAGCCTCCAGCCTCCAGAACTGCGAGAACACATGTGTCTGTGGCTTAGGACCTGGCCTGTGTGCTTCCTTGTGGCCACCTGAGCTGACTCACAGTCCTGCTGGCCGCTGCGCAGTGAACTACGCCTGGCACATAGTAGGTGCACAGACATACTCCATGAACAATGGCCGAAACTCAAGCTATGTCTGTGTACCTCCAGGGTAGATGACAGAAATCAAAGAGAACTTCCCATGAATGGGTTTTATTGAAAGAGAAAAGAAAAGAAAGAAACAGGTGAACTGTTTGAATGGAGGTAGTGGCATTTCCTTTCTCATTTCTTGAACTCTCTAGGAGGTCGCCAGGTTCTTATCTTTGTGGGGCAGCCTAGGCTCAGTATTGGCAAAACTCCGATATTCTCTGTGCACCTGCTCCATGGTTTGTAAAAATACAACCTGCGAGGCCCTTTTCTCTCACGACAAATCTATCCAGTTGGCCCCTTGCCAGGAGGTTCTGGAGGCAGCGGACTATGATGGCCTGCATGGCTCTGGGGTGGGATGTCCTCTGTGGGGCCAGGAGGAAGGCATTCAGAAGCTCCATGACCACTCTGTGCTGCCTGGTCAGCCCTGCTATGTCTCTTCAGCAAGCCCAGAGCTTGCTAAAGAAAAAAAAAAAAGGCTTGGGAAGAATAGGAATAAAATGTAAAAATAAAGTAAAATGAAGGGGCCAAGAAAGAAGCATATAAAGTAGAATAATTGCAACAATATAAAGCCTCATGTAGGTGCCATAAAGAGCGATCGGATTGAGAGCTGCTGATATAGCTGAATCCATAAAAGTGTGCTTTAAGTTGTTTATTACACGCCGATGCGCAGGTACCATGGCCTGGATTAATGGGGCACAAGGAGGAGACAGACAGAGCCCAAGCCTGAGTGCTCTCCATGCTGCTGGGTGAACAGACAGCCATGGAGGAAGGTATGCTGCAGGTGGACAGGTGGGTGGGCCGAGATTAAGGCTGGCTTATTGTGGTTTGGGGAAGGATGGAGGAGACACCGACACCTGGCAAGGGTCTCTGGAGCATGTGGCTAGACCCAGGAGGCCACTGCAGGGCTGGAGGGACAGATTCCCAGGTTTCTGGCATGTGCCTCCAGGAGACCTGAGGGCTGAAGCAGAACCTCAAGGATATCCTGGAAGTAGATGACTTCATGGAAGATGCTAGAATTCCAGGGGCACTCAGAGAAGCAAGACGAAGGAGGGGCATTCTAGAATGGAGCACTGTGAGTGAGGTCAGGGTGGTCCTCAAAGCAGAGGGACCAAGAGGGGAAGGCATCCATAGAACGGAGCTCATAGATCCTTCCCAGCTGGCTGCTCCTCCCCAGAACCCTCCCCTCTGCCTCCAGGAGAAAGGGTTGAGCACTGCTCATGGGTTCCAGTGCTTTTTCTAGCTGAGCAAAGATGGGTCCTCAGAATCTTTCTTAACACAGTGCAGCCAAGAAGTCAGAGCTAGCTTGTGAGCTGAAACCCACTTTCCATTCCTGCTGAACAGAGTGTGAAGGCAGATTTGATTAGGGTAAGTTAGGTCGAGACCTGATAGCTGAGGACTTATGAGCTTAGCTCTGAACTGGAAGTTGGTCCCAGGTGAGAGCTATGGAAAGGACAGACAGGAGGACAAAGTAGACAGGGCATAGGATGTGGTGATGACCTTGGGGTGGAGGAAGAGAGAGGGGTCTGTAGAGACAGGAAGCCTAGAGACAGGGCCCCTTGCACAGAGCAATGAGAAAATCAGGGGGGAACTGGGTTTCAAAGGAAGGCAAGTTTGGATTTTGTCAGGCTGTTTGAGCTGGTGGTGGGATGTCAGGACAGATGGAGATGGTCAGAGGTACCAGGCTGGAGTCCACTGGTGGCAGTCATTTGTGCAGATGTGCAGATGAGAATGGTAAGGTCCAGGAGCTGGGGACACGGAAAGCATAGGAGGGACAAAGGTTGAGCGCTGGACCCTGGGCTGGCTCACTTCAAGAGGAGGAAGTGATGGGGAAGAAGGGCGAGTGTCCAGAATGCCAGGTAGCGAGTGGGAGCCAGGACAGGGATGAGACTGAGACAGCTGTGAGGAAGAGTGGTGCTTAGGTGACAACTGACAAAGTAGGGGAGGGTGGGAATATCAGATGGCCTTCAGCAACCTGAAAGGGATATTTGTTTTCCTTCTGAGATGAGGCTATGTGTGGTGGACGTGGCATAAGCTGTGTGGTCAGGGAAGCCTGGGAACAACCCCTGCTTTTGCCAGTGGTTAGCGAATGCTACTGGGAAGTGAATGACGTCACCTCTCCAGGCCTGTTCCATTCCCTCAGTGGCTTTCTTATCTGTAAAGCACCTGCTTAAGAGGACGGCTGCAGAGAGGAGACAGGTGAGCCACGGGCACCGACAGTGCCAGGAGCAGTGAGAGCAGATGTGTGGGTGTGAGGCGAGGGTGACAGAGGCTGTGGTCAGAGACTGCTGTGGGTGACATGGCTCACCTCTGCAGAACACACCCGGCTGTCAGGTGTTCTCTGCGGGGGAGGTCTGTGCCAAGTCACTTTCCTCTACTGGGGGGATGGGACAGCGCAGTCATGGTATGCAGGATGTATACCTCATTAAACTCACGCTTTGGATGGAGGCTCAAGCAGGGACAGCACTCCAAGCTGGAAAGGACAGGATGGCTAGAAGTCAGGAGTCTCCAGGGGGACCCTATCAGGACCCAGCTCATTCCCTTGGGGTCCCTGCCATGATAGCTGGGGACCAAGTCCTGACAATTTGGAGGAGATCACTCAGTTTAACTATGGCTCAGTGCCTCCTGACCACAGTTGGGACGGGAAGTTGGCCTGTGGTGGTCCTGGAGCAGGTTTGCTATGAGTGAAGTCTGCTCTAGCCTCAGTGGGATATTGAGGGGAAAGGGGCCCCAGAGGGCAAGCCATGAAAATCACAGGCAACCCAAGCAGTAAAGGGGTGTCTTCCAAGGAGCTCCTGACAGGGATGGGCCCTGGGGCAGGAAACAGAGAGGGGGCTCCCCACACAGGGCCAAGTTGGATCTAGTTGCCAGGGACGATTTTCTGTGATTATTCTCCTGAGTCACCTCAGTTCACCCTCTCATCCATGCCCTAAGCAATATTTGATAGACGAGGAAGCCTGGGCCACAGTTTCTGAGAACAGTGACAAGACTGTAAGCAGTCCTGGGCAGGTTTGCAGGACACCTGTTCTCCAGCTGTTTGGAGCCCCAGGGCCCCAGGTCCTGAAAACTCACGCCATCCTATGTGGGGCCACCAGACATATATGCTGCCACACTCCTGAAATATGGCTGGTGCCCCTTTGATTTAATGAGATTTAATTTTAACTAATTTACATTTAATTAAAAACAGATCCCCAATTCAGTTATCAGAATACTTTTAACTACGTATGACTTGGGCATAAGCCTCTACCTTTTCAGCTGTAAATTTTATGAAGTCTAAATACAGATCACGCATTTCAGATGAAAATTTAGCATCCAAATTGAGATGTGCTTTAAGTATCAAATACACACGGATTTTAAAGACTTAGTATGCAAAAAAAATCCCCCAAAACCCTGATATAAAATATCCCATTAATATTTTCTATATTGGTGGTATGTTACCAGGCTATTTTGGATACATTGGATTAAATAAAATATATTAATAAAATGAATTCTACCTGATTCTTTTTACTCTGTAAGAAGTGGGGTGACTGGAAAAATTTTAAATTGTATATGTGACTCACATTAGAATTCCCAGGTGTGGGGCTACCATCCAGGTGTGGAGTTTTCAGGACTCTGATTGTCAAAATGAGGTCACTGGGTTACCCCAGGAAGCTCCTGGGGGTCCCAAACTTACTCCCTCATTCTCCATATCCAAGGAGCCAGGGCTCCCCCGGGGCTGCTCTGGAGCTGGGGCAGTGGTGCCTGGATCTGAGCAGAGAGGAGGGAGGGGGAGAGGAAGAAGGGGTGCAGCTCGGAGAGGCAACTGAGGGGAGCCAAGCTAGTGGTGGGCGAAGTGGCAATTGCTCCTCAGAAACTGGTAGGCAGACAGGCAGGCAGGTGGGGAGATTTGTGTCAGCGTGAGGAATATGGTTTTGAAGTGCAATCACTTGTGGGAGGGGAAATTAGCTAAAAATCAGCCGATTCTGCTCTTGATCTTGCACAAATCACCTCGCGGGAATAGGAGCTAAGGGCGCTGGGGTGGGAGGGGCAGTGAGCTGGGTAAGGCTTGGCAGATAGAGGGGAACAGAAGGGGCTCTGTCTACCTCCTTAGGCCAGCTGGAGGGGCAGGATGGTTGGACATTGAGCAGAGAACCAGTGACCCTACAGTTAGCCTGGAGAGTAGCTGGTTTAGCTACCACGAGGAGGACTCCAGCCTCAGGTCTCAGGGTAAACCGAGTCACCTAGGAAGATCATCCAAGCCTTTGACTTGGATCATGAGCCACTCTGTATCTTTGACATTGCCTCTTAAAAAAATGACAGGGTTTGTATTCGCAAGGCTGAAGCGTGAGTTTGAGACCAGCTTGGGCTACCTTGAGATCTTGTCTGAAAAAAAAAAACAACCCAAAATCTGTGTTCCATGGACTCTGGGGAATATAGTCATCACAAAATATCTGGGAAAAGCATCTCCCTCGATGACTACATTCCTTTTTCCTATAGAAACAGCAGCCCAGCTTATGCGTGGGCAGGCCCAGGCTGCAGGATTCAACTGAGGCCATAGCTCAGGTCAATGTCAGAGGTTACACTTGTGACCCTGACAGGTCAGTAACCAGACAGATTCTCCTCCCAGGCAGTCAGGAACACGGGAAGCGGTCCTGTTTGGGTTTAGAAGGCCCAGGCATGGGGATGGCAGTGTTGGGAATATACTAGGTAGTACAGGCACTGGCTGAGGCTAGGATCTGGGTACAGACATGAGAGGGCCCCAGGCACTCTTGTCTTGTCATTGGTGGGCGTGTGCCAGTGTAACCATGCATGATAAATGAGACTTTCTTTGGGAGTGGAACTGGTACAGATGTGGAGGGACATGAACATCTGGCTCCCCCAGCTTGTGTGGTACTCGGCTTGCAGCAGGAAACACTGATCTAACCCCATGTGTTCACAGCCTGGACTGTACCCTGGCCACTCGCCCACCCATCTTCTCTATCCTGGGGATGGAACCTGGAGGGAGGGAAGGGCCAATCCTGCAGGGGAGAGCCAGGCCAGGGATGATGTTTATGCTGCAGGCTGGACAAAGCACATGCCAACAGGCACCCTTTGATGTCCTTCTTGCTGGGCTGGGCCCCTGCACCTTTCTCTCCCAGGGACCAGTGCATCTGAGGATGGGCAGACGTGGGACAGCCTGTGTTCCTGTAGTGGGGGCCGCCTAGCTCTGAGCAGAATAGTGGTGTGTATGTCCCAGTTGAACAGAGGCAGTTAGCGTATTTCTTTCAAAATGAGCTTCCGATCTCCCTGGTTGCTCTCTCCATCCGCACCTGAGCCCGCGGGTGGCTGTAATCCACATGTGCACATGCTATTTTTCTCACTCTGCTCCACCCTGTTAACAGTCAAGCTGAGCGTCTTCTCTCCTGCAGGGTGAGCCTCTTCCAGCACTTAGCTCCCTCCTGTCTCTGACCTGGCACTAGCTTGCATCTTCAGTGGTGCTCCTCCTCCTTGGGAGGGCTCTTCCCCCTGTGTCCCTAGCCTTCCCCCCATCCCCACCATTCCATCTTCCCAATGGCCCCCTGGAGTCCCATTCCTGAGATTTAATGACTCGCTCTGTGACGGTCCCCGCCCTGTGCTCACTTACTCTCCACAGCAAGAGTGATAGGCTGGCTGGTCTTGTTATCCCCGTTCTTGTCATTAACTGCCTGCACGTAGTAACGGCCTGCGTCGGGAGCCACCGTTGACAGGATGACAAGGGTGTTCTCCAGTGTGATGGCTCTGGGAAGAGGAAAGGGATTCTTTTGACAGGGGCCTGAGGGACTTGGAGCCTCCAGCCTCTAGGGATTGTGACTGGAGAACTGAGGTAGGTGGCCTGACAGTACACTCCCACCCCCTGCAGAAAGGAAGAGAGGGGGCTGCCTCAAAGAGTGCCCCTTTCAGTCCTCACCCCAACCACTTACTGCCTAAACCCCAGCTACTCTGCGTTTGCAGAGAACCCCAACGTGCTCACTGCACTGGTCATTGAACCCCACCACAGTCCTTCACACCCACGGGTTGAGACCATCCCAGCCCCCACCCCAAAGCCGGCCTAGGGACCTTTCCCACAAGCCACCGTGGAATTCTGTCCATCCAGACACCGAAGAAATGTCCATGGAGCAAATGGGTGACCAGTGAGTATCGAGCCACTATAATGATTTTGGGAATGAGCAGAGTGGACTGGAGGTACAGCTCAAGTGGTAGAGTGCTTGCCTAACATGCACGAGGTCCTGGGTTCGATCCCCAGGTCAAAAAACAAACAGCTCCCCATTGCAGGTCAGGGCCTTAACCCTCATCCTAAATTTGTTTAAGCAGACTCCTGAAGCATAGACTTCTGGGGGCCCATGTCCCTCTAGTACCCTTCCTGGGATCAGTTCCTCTAACCTGAAGCCTGTGACCGTATGTGAGGCCTGGTGAGCTGGTCAGCAGGGAGGAAGGTGGTAGAACGTGCTGAGGACTATGGGCCTCTGCCCCTGCCCCACTGGCTGGTTCCCTTTCCTGGTCTCCTGTCACGTAGCCCCTCCTTGGGTCAGGCTCCAGGCAGGAAAACAGGGAGCTGGGGTCCCCCTTAAATGAGGCTGAAGTGGCTCTGAGAGCACTGCCCACACCAGCTCTGCCCAGCTCCTCTCACCCATTCTCTCAATGACAAACAGAACCATTAGTTTGCCAAGTCTATCTCCAGATTGTAATGTGATGTGCCCGAGACAGCTGTTAAACATCCTTAATGTTAGTTTAACAAGGACAAATCCAGTTGAATTCTTTTCAAATTTTCCCATTAGGTGAATATTACAGAGTTTTAAACAGGCTCTCAAATAAACATCCCCACTAATGCCTCGCTGGCCCAGCTCTCTCCCAGCCTACCTGTGCTAGTCCCCCGCCCTCCTGGTTTGGGGCTAAGACACACCATCAGCAGAGCTCTGCATAGGAGGGAGGCAAGCCCAGCTGCCCCAATGTTTAGGGACCCTATTGATGCCCCATTTATTTTTTGCTTTTTTTTTGAGAACTCTTTTTTTATCTGCAGCTGATGAGGTGATAGGATGCAGGACCAGAGGTATATGTATGTATATATGTATATACGTGTTTGGCGGCAGTACTAGGGTTTGAATTCAGGTGCTCTACAGCTTGAGCCACACCTCCAGCCCTTTTTGCTCGGGTTATTATGGAGATAGGGTCTTGCTTTCTGCCATTGCTGGGATGACAGGCATGTACCACCCTGCCCAGCTTTTTTTCCATGGAGATGGGGTTTCGTAAACTATTTTGCCCAGGCTGGCCTGGAGCTATGATCCTCCCAATCCCAGCCTCTGAAATAGCTAGGCTTATAGGTGTGAGCCACTGGGGTCTGGCAGGACTCACATATTTTAAAGGTGACAACTTGGGACTGTGAGACTGGGATTGGGATAGTGACCATCTTCTCACCTTCAAATCTCCTGCAGGGAACTTGTCCTAACTGAAGCTTGTGGGAATGACTGAGGGTTGGGGCAAGGGGCCTGAGCTGTGCAGGGTGGTTTGGGTAGGGGGTAAGCTCTGGAACAGGACCCAGCCTCTGAGGGGCATACACTTCCTTCTGGCTGGGCCTCTGTTTCCTCATCTATGCAAAGGTGGAAGCATGTGTTTGCTAGGATTTCCTCCAGGCTGACACTGAGGGACTTCGTTTAATCCCCATTTGGTCCAAGGCCACTGTCTTCACCCACCTCCATCACCATCACCTTGAGCACATAGTCTGGCTTCAGGATGGAGCAGTGGGATGTGGGGTCATGCAGTTCCAGCTGCCCCAGTCACACCTACTGCCACAGTACTACGGGTGAACAAAGCCTCTCTAGTTTACCCCCCTGTACTAGCTCTTTTGGCTTTCAGAGGAGACACCTCAAATTCTTTTCCTCTTGACCAGAAGGGTTTGTCCACCTCCATTTTCTCCTTTAGCTGTATTTTGTCAACATTATGATCGATCTTTCTAGGTCAGTAGTTCTCAACCAGAGTGACTTTGCCCCCAGGGGCTATTTAATAATGAATGTCTGGACAACTTGTGGCTGCCACAGTGGTGGAGGTGCTACTAAAAGCTGGTGGTGGCAATCAGGGATGCAGCTAAGCGAGCATCCTACAATGCCCAGGGTGGCCCCACAGGGAGGGTGGCTGGACCTGGACGTTTGAGTATATGGTGGAGTGCTATGGTTTGGATGGGGTTTGAGTGTGTCCACCCAGCTTAACGTGTTGAAGGTTTAATGTTCATTTTGAGGTATTCAGAGGAGAGGTTTAGAGGCAAGGCCTTTGGTAAGTGATTAGTACTAGACAAGGTCATCAGGGTGGATACTCCATGACTGAATCCTGGTGGCTTCATAAGAAGAGGGAGAAGCAAAACCAAAAGTGATCAATTCCATAAACACAATTAATACTGGAGCATTTGTCATTGTGTAAAATCATAATTATCTCTCTCTCTATGCTTATTCAACTTTAGGTGCCTCATTTACACTTTCTCATTAATATAAATCAGTGAGTAAAAATTGCTTATATATTGATGTAACAACAACAACAAAAAAAAACGAGGGAGAAGGAAGGACCGGAAGACACACACTCACATAAGCCCTGCTTTTCTCTTGCCATGTGACCCTGCGCCACCTCAGGTCTCTGCCAGCAAGAGGATCATTACTAGGTGAGCCTCCTCTACCTGGGACCTGCAGAATCACGTGCCGAAAGAACGCTCTGCCCTTTATAGCTCACTCAATCTGTGGCATTGAGTTATTAGCAGTAGCAGATGGACTGACACACTGACATATCCTGTTCTAGGTAATATGGCCCACCTCGGCACCAGGCTCCCCTCCTGTAGGGTACCATGGTTGCCAGGCAGCCAGTGACACGCTCTGTAGCTTCCCATGCAGGTGATTGGTGTGGCTGAGCTGGTGGGATGTAGAAGGAGGGAAGTGTGGAACACGGGCACTCCTGTGTCATCCTCGTGAGGCTCTCTCCCCTCTAGGCTTGGAACACGGGCACTCCTGTGTCATCCTTGTGAGGCTCTCTCCCCTCTGTTGGAGCAGGATGACTTGGAAGGCTTATGCAGATTAGCAGAGCCCCAGCAGCCTAGCTCTGAGTGACTGTTGCAAGAGCTGCCCCTTCTGACCCTTGCTTGAAGTAGGACTTTCTTGATGGGCAAACCTTACCTTCTGTGGTGTTGGGTCCTGGGTTCTGGGATATAGTCATTACTGAAGCTGGCACTGTCTTTATCAGCCCCTGGAGGGCAGCACCTGGCCCGAAGCCTGGCTTTGGGTTCTTAGCATGGAGTGGAGCGGGAGGCACAACAGCCTTTTGATTTGTCACCCTGACCCCACCAAGAGGGAAAGGAAGGTCCCTGGGCTCACAGGTAGCCATTGGAAGTATGCTGCACCTCAGTTCCAACATGCACGCTGCTGTTGATGGCCCTTAGTAGGACATCCAGCCTGCTGTACCCCAGATGCATCCACACTGAGAAAAGTTGGGGGGACACAGATAGCAGTACTCAACCAAGTGGGAGCTGGGTCATACTTTCCATCTGTATCCTTGGTTTCAATTTACTAGGCCTTTTTGGCTTCTCTGATTGGCTCAGCTCCCACCCCCACCCTCTGCCCACTGCTCCTATTCAGCCAGTCCCCTTCTTTCAGCTCCATGGGGGCCTGATCCATAATTTAATTAAGGATAAAATAAGTCACCCTAGAGTGTGTGCAAAGCTCCCGGCACTCATCTCTGTTAGAATCCTGTCTCCTTTTCAACAGCGAGCTGTGGGACTTGGTGAGGTGGCACTAATCCCTATCCTGCCTGGTGGTGAGAACCGTACTCCACGGGTAGTGGTGCCTTCCTCGCCTTCTACACCCTCTGGCTGATAACACTCATCAGATACAGAGCTCGAGCACGCAGACACCAGGGAACTTGCTTCTGGGGATCCTTTCCACTTGGTTATGAGTATTAATCCACTGTAATTGCCAAGATAAAATCATCCCACAGTTCTATCATGTACTTGGTAGCAGCGTTTGTGAGAGTGGTCAGGATGGGCACATATATGTGCAGGCCAGGATTGCTCCAGAAGCTGGGAATGAGACAAGTAGTCAGGACAGGGTTAGGAAAGGGTCGATGGGAGTGAGGCTGGAGAAAGCAATTTCTCTACCATGGCAAATGTAGTAGGTAAGTGCCAACATGCTCCCTCCTGCAGCCAGGGCAGACATTGGTAATTGATCAAGGTACTCTTTCCCCTGAGTGTGAATGGGGCCTCAAGTCCTTTTCAACTCGGTGTTCCCAGCAGCCACTACCAATTGTCTTGTAGGATGTCTTCACTGATACACCTGGGCATATGAGATTAAACTGAGAAAGGGAGTTAGGATGGGGCTGGGCTCATCTACCTGTCCCCACACCTGTGTGGCAGAGCCTCTTCCTTCTACAGCATATAGCCATGTGAAGGGTGAGCCATTTTGATGGTTTTGTCCAGCCTTAGTTGGGCCTAAGGAAGCCCATTCTGACTCATGTGGGATGAATCTACTTGTTGACCTGGGTTGCTACTCTATTTCTTCACCTTTCTCTATATCCACACCCCGTGCGGTGTGAGTGTGGACCTGTGCGTCTGCAGTGCAACTGAGACACATGGCACAGTGTATGGATACAGAGAGCCTCTTGCCCTTGGGTTCTGCCACATTCTTGCTTCAGCCAATGGGATGCTAGCAGAGGCCTAAAACAGGTACGTTTTTGTTTCTTCTCCTGCTTATCAGCAATTGCCAGGAGAACATGTTGGGGCTGGCAAAGGGAGGATGAGGCACTTGCAGCACAGCCAAGTCACCTGTCATCTAGTAGGCTATTCTAGATCAGTCAGTAGCCAATCAACCCCAGACTAGTGACAGCCCAGCCAAGACCAGAAGCACCCAGCCCACCTAGCCTAAATCATCAACCTGTGTACTCATAAGAATAATACAGTTAAGTGCTTATTCTCTTAGGTGTTTTGTTATTGAGGCTGTAGTTCTGGTATGTAGATACATACCAGGCATGGTTCTCAACCCTGGCTGCATGTCAGAATCACCTAGGGAGTTTCAAAAATCCCAATGGCTGAATTACTCCCATTTCAGGGCATCCTGATCAGTACATTTCAAAGCTACCAAATGATTTCCACAGGTAGGCAGGATGAAAATCCCTGCATCAGGACCAGCTCTCCAAAGCACACTCACTCCCTCGTGTCTGTGCAAGTTCCAATGTGTGTTTCACAGAAGGGCGAGAGTTAGAGAGACTGACTCAAGTCTGGACAGCCGGACCAGCTTCACATCTCAGCAGCAATGTGAGGTTTGGCAAAATCACTTAACTTCAGGAACTCTGCTTTATTGTGCAGTGGGGACAAAGCCAGCCCCTTCATGGGGCTGTTGTGAGGGTTGTCTACTCAGCAACTATTTTGGGAGCATGTGCTCTGTGGATAGAAAGGAAAGGAGACTGAGAGTGCCTCCTTCCTCTCAGAGCACAGCTGCCCTGGTGCAGAGGGGATGTGTGCTTGTGGTTAGCAGAGTCCCAGAATATAGCAGCCACTCAATAAACGACAGCTGCTGTCACCACTATGATAGCATTAGGTAACAGTTACTGTGCTTCTATCATGGGACTTCTTCCCCAAAGGCAAGAACTGTCCAGCGCTTCCTCCACAACCTACAGACCAGGTTGGGCTCCAGTCAGTCTACAACAGCATCTTGATCAGGTCTTTCTGCGAGCAGGGGAGAGTAGGGAGCACAGAGAAGAAAGCCTTGGCTGGCTCAGGACTCTGAGTGGAATCCAGGGGTTGGAGGGCGGATGTCTGCTGGAGCAATGCTTTGCCCCTGGCCTTCTGTAGAGGTGAGGGTATTGGTCTGCCACCCCTGGCCACAAGCCAGGGACACAGAGGTCTTTGTGCCCACCGAAAGGGCTGCATGTTTCCCTCCCCTGGCTTCCCCTGACAACACCAACTCCAGGAAGCCAAAATACACATAGCCCTCTCACCCCAGCTCACACCCATCCACACCCACGCAACTGAAACGGTGGGCTCTCCACTGCCCCCGGCGCTGCTGGCCTGACTCCGGGGCCTGTCACCATAGTGATGGTGTCTTTGTTTGTGCCTGTTTGGGGGGTTGTTAATTCCTCTTAAAGGCAGCTAGAGGCAACACCCTGGGATTCCCAGGGAGCCCCAAGTCCTCGCATACATGTTCCAAGAAAGTCCCTTGCAAAATAAACTTCTGTGGCCATCTGGGAGGTCCCCATCTGGCTATATCCCAGAATTGCTGAAAGATTCTTCAGGAAAGGCTGTCTTCAGCATTTGGGGGAGTTTATCTGGCCCCAAACCTTACCCCATGCCAGAACCAGCCTCCCTCCAGTGCCCCCCAGAGCTGGGACTCACATTCGGCTGCTGGGTGGGATCTTCCGGCCATCTCGGAACCAGGTCACCTGAGGCCGGGGGAAGCTGGCGATGCGTGGTGCTCGGATGACGGCAGCTTCCCCATGGGTGACACTCTGGTGCTTTTCTCCCTCCTCGAAGCTCCCCATGTCTGCAGGGAGAGAGTGAGCAGAGGTCAGGGGCTGAGGCCAGCCTCAGGGATCACCTGGTTCCTGGGTGCGGAGTGGAAGCAGCAGAAAGATAACATGGCAGAAAGATGTCCACAGGGAAATGGCCATCGTGCTCAGAGTACCCACGCTGGCCCACCTCCCCATCCTCGAATCTATCACTGTGACGTGCCTGCTTTGGTGTCTGGGTTTTATACTCATTTATAGCCATATAGCCTTGACTCAATTGATTTGTTCAACAGCCACGAGAGGGTGATCATCATTTTACACATTTTACAACCCAAAAACCTGTTCGAATGGGTTCAGACAGGTGAATTAACTAGGAAGGGACAGAGCCAGGATTTGAACTCAGACCTTGAGCTCTGGAGTCGGGCTGCTGTTCTCCCTTCCCTGCCCTGTGGTCCTGCTTTGGCACAGCAGGGCTTAGATGTGGGGTCACAGGTAGGTGTTGGGCCACATTTCTCTGCCAATAGGGGCACAGCGTGGTGGGCACACTGCAGTGAGTGAGATCTTGGATCTTACAGCATCTGAGCTGCAGAGAGGATTTCCTTCCTATGCCCGGGGTGCCGAGTGTGAGGTCTGGTTGCTCATATGTGCCAACACAAACAGTGCATTGCTCTTTTTAAAGCATGCCACCCCCTGCGCCAGATATGGAGGAGGACTTTTCTCCTGGTTCTGCTCTTCTGCCAGCCAGGAGGGAGACAGAGAGCAGAGGAGACACCCAGGAGGTGCTTCCTGTTCCTTGGCAGCCTGTTGCTGGGCCAGAGGGACTGATTCACACCACAGAGGCGGGCAGTAGGCTTTGGGAACAGGCGTCTGGGTTTCACCTCCACACTTAAAAATGAATGTGCATCCTTGCTACTCCACATGTGGTCTATGACAAGCACTGTTTGTCCTAAATGGCTGTATGTCAGGAATACTGCAGAGTTTAAAAAAAAATGCCAATGAGTCCTCCAGCCCTGCAGCTTCTGATTTCATTATTATGGGATGTGGGGGAGGGGGATTCCATTCTGGGAGTGCCCCATGTCAGCCCATCTCCCCATCTTCTAACCCATCACCATGCTGGCCCTGAACCTTCTGGGGTGGGCGGGACCTGGGCCTCTAAGGTTTCTAAATTAGGCCTCTGATCTCTAAAGTTGCTTTTCTGGTTTGATCATAACCTTTCTGCAGACAGCCTCTTGTGGTCTGGGTCCTTCAGAGCGCCAAAATTCCACTTCCAACATTTGCTGGGCATTTCTGCCAGGAGGGGCCCTTGTCACCTTGCCAAGCCCAGCCTCTTGTGCTCTGGTCCTTGTCCCTGCCCAAATCACCTGAGCTCAAGTTGGGGGTGCTTCCTTCCCTGTCTCCATGAAGTCCTCAGCTCTCCTCAGGGATGCCACTCCAATGAGTAAAGACCCCGGGATCCAGCCCCATCATTCCAGCCACAGATGCCCACCATGGCCTCCTACATTCGGATCCCTCTTACACACCAGACCTGGTCGCTTTTCTGACCACATGGCTCACCTGTTTGGGGCAGTAGTATCTCCTAATTGTGCCAGAAAAATCTATGTTATTTTGCTTGGATTCGAGGTCACTCCCTAATCGGACCCCAACTACCCTTTCCTGCCTTAATGCCCACACCATGTCCTGTCAGCCATTACCCACTGCAGGGTCTCTACTTTTGCCTAGAATCCTAGAATGCCACCAGGGTTATCCATGAATCGCCCAGGTATAGTTGTTCTACAGCATCCTAGACGATGGAGCCTACTCAGTGCTTCCAAAAATACCATCTGTTGTTGGCATCATTGTTCTAAATTTGGAACACAGTTTGTTAACAGCAGCTTTGGAGACTTTGAGACTTGAGTTCAAGTCCTAGCTCTGTTGCTTATTTGCTATGACACTGGACAAAACTTTTGACCTTGTCGTGTTTTAATTTCCTTTTCTCTAACATTAAACGTTAAAAAGGGTACCTTCGTCATAAGTGGTACTGAGATATGAGAGAATAGGTATGTGTCAGGCTGTATCTTTTCAAAGCTTGGGACTACTCCACCAATAGAACTTGCTAGAAGTGATGCTATATGACTTTGAAGGCTAAGTCATCTAAAGGACACAGCTTCCACCTGACTTCCGGTCTCCAGACACTGGCCCTTGGGGTCCAGTCACCATGTTGTGAGGAAGCTCAATCTAGCCCAAGCAGACATGGGAACAGCTCACAAGAAGAGGAAGTAAGGCCCCCGGTGACAGTCAGCCTTGACATTAGACACCTAAGTGAACAGTGAGCCCTCAGGTCATTTCAACTGCAGCCTTCATGTCTTCCACCAAGACATCAGTCATTGCAGAGGAGAGACTAGCGGTCCCCACTGTGCCCTGTCCAGGTTCCAGACTCTAAGAATAATAAAACGTTGCTGTGCACCACTGTGTTCTCGGATAATTTGTTACACAGCCATATAACTGGAAGAGTCTATAAAAGTGCTAAAGAATTATATTTAATATCTTCAGTATTAAAATATTGGAACCTTATGCATTTTTCATGGTTTAGTTTAAACATTACCTTCGCAACAAAGATTACCCCAAACCATCCAAACAGAATTAAAAAGCAGACTCGTCGAGCACTTGCTCCATGCTGGGTGTCTTTCTAGATAGTCTTCTCATGCATCAGCTCATTTAATCCTCCAATAACATGGCAGGCTCCATTTTAATAAGTATACATTTTTAGTTGTTTATTAATTTCCATTACTTGGTTCTGTCTATAAAAGATTACATAAATAAATCACACTGATTTCAGTTCTTACAATAATTTTCTCTATTTAAAGAACTTCACAGAACTCAGGAGCTATATTTAAACAATTTGAAGCAATTTCATGGCAATAGTGTTTCTTCCTCCTCTCTCTCTTTCATTAGCTCCATTTGGTCGGTGAGGAAATGAAGGTTCACGAAGGTGGAGTGGCTTTTCCACCATTAAGCAGTTAGGGCTGGACCAGCCAGCCTCCCTTGCACACCCTCCCTGCCTCATCATGACTCACACTGTGCATTAAATCCTCTGTGTCATTTTTTTATGTTTAATCACCTTCTACTAGGTGCTAAGCTTGGACTTGCAACTATGCTCTGTTGCATTCGTGAGAAAAATCTCTACAGACCATTGCTCTGCACACAGTAGGCTCTGTCTGAATCCAACAGCTCCTTATGGGGCCTCACTGTGGGTCACACAGACTCTGTGGTAGGCGCAGAGGAGAGACCTGGCCTCGACTCTCAAGAAGCTTAGAGTCTGGTTGGGGAATCAGGCATAAGCAAGCTAACGCCCAACGAAACGTCCAACAACATCTGTGCCAACGGCTGGGAAGGAAGGGACACGGTTCTTCTGTGTTAGGCTGTAGCAGGAAAACCTATTCCAGGCTGGGAGGTGGGTGAGGCATTGTTTAAGATGAGACATAAACAAGGAGTAGGTGTAGCTCCGTGTGTGTGTGTGTGTGTGTGTGTGTGTGTGTGTGTGTGTGTGT